CCTTAGGCCTATTTTAGAAGGCTCAGCCTGTATGGAGTCACTGCTGCCTCACACCCTCTAGAGACAATCTGCCTCTCTAGTGAGGCCTCCAAGTGAATGCATGTGCTTTTCTAGAGGAGCCCTTAAAACTCGACTATCTTAGTTGGAATTGAGCTTTTCAATGATCTTATCTTAGTTCAGCTGGAAGTGAAGGGGAAAAGGGCATAGAACTAATTAGTGTTTTGTTCTCTAGACCTGACTAGTTTTTGTTTTTGCTTTTCCCCTAGATACCTAGGATGTGTCTAAAAAGTGAATCCAACCATAAAATGTGCCATACAAAAATAGCCGCACATGGTTCCTTTCCAGGTAGCCATTTATAGTAGGTTAGAATTTGATATATCAGTTGAATTGTTTGCTTTGTGTTTTAAGTCATAACTATCCAAGGACCCATATTCTACAGCTACTGTGTATGGGGTGGGTTACTTTTCACCTTCATGTGCAGAAATGTGCTAAGACAGCAGTTCTCAAACGGTTTTGGCCTTGGAATCTCTTTATATTTAAAAAAGCTATTTGTTTCGCTGGGTTATCTTTATCAACATTTACCTAGTTAGAAGTTAGAAATAATTAATTAATTGAAAGCTAACAGAGATAAACATATTTACTATTTAGAATACATTTCATGAAAATAACTTTGTCAAACTAAAGAAGAATTAGGTGAAAAGATAGGAATTGTTTCCTTTTTTAAAAATCTCAAAAAAAAAATCTCTTTAATCACTGACTTAATAGAAGACAGCTGGATTCTCATAGCTGATTCTGAATTCAGTGTATGTTGTTTTGATTCAAGTATTCATGTAAGAGAATCTAGCCTACATATCTACATACAGATATGTAGTTGGAAAAGAGAGGAGTATTTTAATCTTTTTAGATAATTATTGATATCTTTGATAACTACAGTTTCATAAAGGTCAGCTACAGTATGCTATCTGAAACTCCATCAGTGAACCTTTCATTATGTTACTCTAGTACCATGCTATTGGTCGAGCTTGCATGGTGACTGAATCTTTTATCTAGGCATTGTTTTGTAACTTTGGTCATTTGGAAAGTACTAGTCAAGTGAGTGATT